CAAAACAAACCCGCCCGTTCTCCACCAACCTTCCCTGACACGCTTAGCCTGGCTCTTCTCTTCGATCATCACCACTACCACCACCACTACCAACCACCAACCACTCTACTTACTCCTCCTCCTCCTCTTCCTCCCCTACTTCTCTTTGCCCTCCTACTCTTCCTTCTTTAGCCTTGGGATTGTTGGTCGGATCCCCTTCTAATTAAGGGACCATCCAAGTCTCATTTGGTCACATTCACTCCCTGTTACTATCGTATAAATCGCGTGGACAATGGACCTTTTCTGATCGAGCTCCCTGCTCGTCGAGACGTGTAATCCCATCGCGTGCTCGTCTGGAGTGCCCCTCCTTTATTGCTCTTCCAACCTACTCCTCCTACTCTTCTTCCTCGTTCATAGTGCTGCCGCTATTTTTACCACATGGCAGCAGTATTCATCCCACCCTCCCCTCGAACCACTCTTAATATGTCGACTCGCCGACCACTCGCAAACGTGCCGAATGCTACCAATTCCCCTCACAGGTCAGGCCTCGTGCCGGCCAAACGTCTCCGGGCGGCGTCAACCCAGCTTGACATCCCTTACGGCCAGCCTCCTCCGAAGAAGCAGGTAGTCGATGGCCAGGACCCGGAGGCTCGATCACCCACCCGTCCCCGAACTTCCGCCTTGCAGAACCCGGACTCGAAGCTGTTTACACGTCGGACCAACAATGCTCAGCCCAGCGCGTTCGAGAGGAAGTTGGTTGCCGTCAGGGACAAGGAACGTCAGAGTCAACAAAAAGTTACCAGAAACGACAAGCCGTCCGCTGAGACGCTGGATGCCATGCGACAGTGGCAAAGACATTACCGAAAGGCTTTCCCTCAATTCGTCTTCTACTTCGACAGTATCCCGGAGGATGTTCGAAGCAAATGCTCAAGACAGGTTCTGGCTCTAGGAGCTGTAAGTTTTTGCTTGCCCCCAGCCCACCTCGATTTTCAGTAGCACCGGAGAGCCTTTAAAAGGGGCTCAAGGTGTACTCATGCCTTGAATATGTCCGTTCGTGTGCCATTGACACATTTGCTGACCTTTCATAGCGTGAAGAAAAATTCTTCTCGCGTCAAGTGAGCCACGTCGTGACCTCTCGCCCAATCCCCCCTGAAAATGAAACCGTGACCCCGACCGAGATCAACGCGGAACCTACAGAACAATTGAATGCGGATGGGACCTTGCAGACCGTCAATCCGTCTCTACTTGATAAGAGCGCCGAAAGCCACCTTCACATGTCCCTTAAGAACGATGCACGGCGCGAACAGAGGGGAATGGATGTGCTGCACCGAGCCCGGCAAATGCGCATGAAGATCTGGGCTATCGAAAAACTCCAGCGGATGATTGCTACTATTAATGATGGGGATATCGCGGGCCATACGGGTTCGACTCGAACTACAAATGCCGTCACTGGCCACACCAGGGTCAAGGGGGAAAACGACCTCTCACAAGTGCTTCAAAATGAGCTTAACGGTCCGTCTGACCGGAATCCTCACTCAGTTCTCAAGGAGCAGATCTTGTTCAAAGGCCCTTTTATCTACGTTCATGACATGGATGAAAAGACCCGGCCTGTCATGGTCCGTGAGTACGCCAGGGTTGCCAGACGGCAGGATGGGACCTGGCCGCAATTCAGAAGTGCACCCCTGGGCAAGTGTCCGTTCATCGACGAGCCGCCTACGAAGAAGGAGCTGGACCGACAACGCGCCCGTCAACGCGAGAAGGAGAAGAAGCCGGTGCCGAAACCTGTCCCCATCCAAGAACTCCGAGATACGAAATTGAATGTGCCGGAGATCACCAAGACCCCAGATGAAGTTGAGGAGGCAACACCGGACTATAGCCCCGCAGAGGTCATTTGCGAACCAAACCAGCCTGAGATGCAGGAGATGCAGCCGGCTAGACCACCGTCGCCTAGGAAGAGCTCAGAGAGTTTCTGCCCACCTCCAATGCAGCGCACGGGTCCATTCTTCCATGGCCGTGAACCTGCAGCGTCAGGGGTGCAGCCCTCGAACATCACCTCTGCCATCCGCTCCCAAATGGTATCTTCGACTGCCGCTGCACCCGGGGCTAAGGCTGGCCTGAGCAAAGAAGTCCATGAATTGAAGCGGAAGGTACTCGAGAAAGGGAACGGGGTGATTGCCGCTGGCACGGTGCCATTATCGCACCAAACCACGAACATGAACACGAATTTGAAGCCGAGAACCCATGAGAATCGACCGAGTAATTTAAGCCACACGGAGAAAGCTGTGAATGTGTTTGAGGAAGAGACGGCGCAGTTAGAGGGCACCGGGGCACTTAAGCGACTCGCGAGTACCCGAAAGGGGACCACCCCGAAGAAAAAGGAGCGACGGAGAGACCCTAAGCCAGGTTATTGCGAAAACTGCCGGGATAAATTCGATGACTTTGATGAGGTGAGACCTCCCGAACCGCGTTTGAAGATAGCAACTGACCGCTGTTTAGCACATCATGACTCGAAAGCACCGCAAATTCGCTATCAACAGAGCTAACTGGGCTGAACTCGATTCCTTGCTCATCCAGCTGGAGAGACCCCTCAAGCCTAAGCTTGCTTTGTAATGGTCTGGCACGAGAATACAGTAAAAAAGGTGGATATATGATATGTACAATATATCGCATTTCTCGAATCATCACATGAGTCGCCGTGTTGCTTTCCCCAATGCTCAGCAAGGGATAATATACGATGGGCCTTAGCACCTTTCCCTTTCGTCGAATGACACACATACACCCCTGCATGCGGTTCCGAGCAGGTCCCCTCATCGTCAGCTGATGATGCATTAGCGTTGTCTATATTCTTCAGAGCTGCCCGTCCTTCTTCCTTATATTTCTTATTATGTTTATTGCTATTCACATCCCCAGCCAGCATGTTCATTGACACCTGGCGTCTTTGGGTTTTGGCAGTGTTTCGTGCTGTCCGTCCTTGACCTATGAGGCAAGCGCATGTGCATGGAACGGCCCCTGACAGCGGCGGAAGTTCTTCTCTTGGAAAGGCCCACGTGGCAGCTGAAGTCAGGAAAGCAGGGGATCGGGCACGAGGCTGTGCGGGCTGCAGGGCGTTGTCTTGCAATCATGCATGCGGTCACGCTTCAGCTGCAGGAGGCGAGCTGTCCGACCTCAGTGATAAGATTCGCGATGGTAACCGAACGCAATGTGACTGACAACGTCGCCTGTTTCGTCCTCTTCTCCCCCCTTTCCATTTGCCTGCGGTCGTCTACTCTTCTACTTGTGTTTTCTATTCTCGGTTCAATCATGGGTTGATGTGTTTCATGGGGGTTGCATACAAGGGGCTGCATTCCTGGATTGGTGTTGATGCTTGATGCTTTGCATTTACGTTCGGTGGTTGTCTGTGTCTATCTCTTTCCTGCTGTCCGTTCCCTTCTGCTGTGGCTATTGCTAGGTCCCTGAGGGATGGACTGGACCTAGGCCTGACTGGCTACCTAGGTAGCTTGGTACGTTTTCTATTATAGTAAGTAGGGCTAGTAAGCTGGTTAGCAGCTCTTATCCACAATTTACATAGGAATGGAATACTTGATGAATTACTCGGGGGTTTAACACGTATCAAGGACTGTAGTGGTAGCATATAGCCTGTAACTTAGTGTTCTTCTACTGTCCACTGCCAAGATAGGATGACTGACTCTGTCAACTCCCAACTGTTGAGGCAGTCCTGGTCCTGGTCCTGTCATACCACCCCGGACCTTCCCAAAATGCCTCGGCCCATTTGCTTCACCCCTCATCGGCACCGGAACAAGCCAAACCCCCGGCGGAGAAGCCACCGCCCCCCTCTCCGACCAATAAGTCTCAGTGGCAACCCACCGAGCGCCCCGACACGGCACATTAAGACCGGCAGAATCGGACAAAAGGAACTTGGAGCTGAAAGTTGGAGGAGTACTTCAACTACGCCGCATATACCAGCACGCGACCCCAGTTCACTTTCTCAACAATCAACAATCTACGCCGTAGATATCAGTCCATCTGCGACCGAGTCTGAGGTTTACGCTGTAGCTTGTGTAGTATATCGAAACTACCTAGCCAAGCGGTGTACACTGTACAGTCCTGTTGTTACGCCTCGGGACCTCGGAATCATTCCCTCCCTGATGCTCGGGACTACGCTGCATATACCAGCACAGCTTACATAGGGTCGGTGGTATAAAGTCTGAGAAATACCGGGCAGTCTGCGGGAATAATTGTTTATGATCATACTTTGAATAATCTCCTTAGCTACCTACAAACTCAATTTTTTTTTTCTTTTTTTTTCTGGGAGAGGTACCTGGGGTAGCTTTGCCGTTCAAGCTCCGTTGATCTATCTGGTACAGTACGGAAGTACCTTCAACAATTTGGCCCGCCGGAAGGCAAAAAAAAAAAAAAAGAGAGATCATTTGCGACGACGTCACAGCACACTGCACTCGCCTTACACAGTACTTTTCCACTACTTCAATCCGACTCCGTTTGCCGCATTCGGATCTTTGTTATTCTTTTTGGGTGTCAGATTCGCCTCTCTCATCTGACTGATTACTGTTGAAATACCCTGGGCTTTTCTGGACCGGTGGATTGGTGCTGCGGGGAAATTTCACCGAGCTCTCGTCCTCCTCTCACTTCCTACTAATTCCCCTCACCTCCAACGTTTTTTTTCTTGCTCGGTTGTACAACATCAAACAGAAGCAATGGCTTCGTCAAGAACCCCCTCGGCTCTCCTCCTCCTCCCCCTCCGCCGGTCAATCCCCTCTTCTGTCTGCGGCTCTCTCTCCCGCCCCATTACGACGACTACCCCAACACTCCCCCTCCCCCTCCCCGTCCTCGCCCGCGCCGCGACCCTCACGCAAACCCACCTCTCTCCGCAACATGGGTTACCACGGAACCAAATTCGACACAGCTCGCACTCTCCGCTGGGCGCGGCGAGCGCGGCCCCGGCCCGGAAGAAGGTGACCCTGCAGACGCTGCGGGGCATGTACAAGCGCGGGGAGCCGATCACGATGCTGACGGCGCATGACTTCCCGTCGGGCCACGTGGCCGAGGCGGCAGGGATGGACGTGGTGTTGGTCGGGGACAGTCTGGCGATGGTGGCGCTGGGGATGGAGGACACGAGCGAGATCGTCATGGAGGAGATGCTGCTGCATTGTCGGAGTGTGGCGCGGGCGGTGAAGGGGGCTTTTACGGTATGTTTTTTTACACCCTTACTTATGTCTAAGGATATGAGGGAGGATGCCGGGAAAGGAGAGAAGTCGGATTTGTGATCTGTGAGCTAATTTCTGTGTATCTGGGTTAGGTGGCCGATTTGCCGATGGGGTCGTATGAGGTCTCTCCGGAGCAGGCGTTGCAGTCGGCGATCCGCATCGTCAAGGAAGGGCGGGTGCAGGGGGTCAAGATCGAAGGTGGGGAGGAGATGGCGCCGACGATCCGGCGCATCACGCAGGCGGGGATCCCTGTGGTCGGACACGTCGGGCTCACGCCGCAGCGGCAGCATTCGCTGGGCGGGTTCCGCGTGCAGGGCAAGTCGACGGCGGGCGCGCTGCGGCTGCTGCGCGACGCGCGGGCGGTGCAGGAGGCCGGCGCGTTCATGATGGTCGTCGAGGCGGTGCCCGCGGAGATCGCCGCCATCGTCACCCAGAAGCTGCGCGTGCCCACCATCGGCATCGGCGCCGGAAATGGCTGCTCCGGCCAGGTGCTGGTGCAGATCGACATGACCGGCAACTTCCCGCCGGGCCGCTTCCTCCCCAAGTTCGTCAAGAAGTACGCCGATGTCTGGGGCGAGGCCATCAAGGGCATCGAGCAGTATCGCGACGAGGTCAAGAGCCGCGCGTATCCGTCGGAGGAGTACACCTATGCTATCCCGAAGGAGGAGCTGGCCGAGTTCGAGAGGATCGTCGAAGAGGGCCCGGACAACCAGAAACGTTGATCAATCGGATTCATTGGCGCGGTTCTATTCCCTTACATACCCCGGTGGGATTCCCTGTCGTTTGTTGATGCGCGCAAGTCTACTTTTGTATAGATACCTTTTCATTTCCATGTTCCCATAATCATCTTCCCATAGGAGATTCTGTTCATAATATCGTCAAGATTATCGTGCCTTTAAGGCCAGTTGACGTGCTGTTAGTCGTGTTGTTCAGCGGACAAACATGTAAGATAGACATGCAGTACGTACTCCTTCACTCCTTCAACATCAACCTAGACTCCGGATATGTCTGTCATCCAAAAGCCGGAGTCATGGAATACGCAACGATGAGCTGCTCGTCCGTCTTGAAACACTAGAGACGAAACGATAAGAGTTCAAGGGCCGTATCATCGCGACACCCCCGGAAGAACTTACCCGCCATAGCCCCCCAATCCCTTCATCCAACCCCGGCGCAAAGACGCTATTGACGTAGCAGAAGACCGAGTCGGTTTCCTTGCAGTCCAGCCGCTTTCGGAGGAAGTTGACGACGGTCTCGAACTTCTGCGAAGCGCTGACCTTGAAGACCCGGGTTTTGAGAATCGGGGCCGAGGGGAGAGGTTGAAATCGCACCGTGACTGCGGGATGGTTGGTTAGTTAGTGCGATAAGTTCTACGGAAGGCAAAAGGTGGGCGATGGGCGATTTGGCTTGTGGGACCGATCGATCGGGTCGGTGACCGCTGATCATTGCAAAGTGGATTTCACGGATTGGGGGGTTGGGGAAGCTGAGGCTTGATGCTTGCTAGATGGGCAAATACGACGAGCACTGTACTTGCCTTTGCCCTTGTCTACGGCTTCGGCATCCGCCAATGCTTGATGCGCATCACGGGGCAGACTGGTCAACACCACGGAGGCGGATAGGTTCATCGGTAGATCGGCGCCATGCTTGTCGTCAGGGATGGGGGTATGTTGCGCAGTGGACGCGGAGGAGTCAGATGATTGCGTGCGCTTAGCTGCTCTGTGAGGGAGGCTGGTTTGATCGGGGTTGGGGGAGTTGCGGGCTGAGGGGCCGTGGGGGGAGGGGGAGTCCATGTTTATTTCGTGGAGATGGATTGAGAAAAAATCCCTCTCTGTGTCCTGCGAGACAGCACTCGAAGGTGTGGCGATAGCCTTCCCTAGAAGAGGAGTATATGTTGATGGATGGATGGATGGATGGTGGTGGTGGTGGTGGTGATATTGATATCTAGTTCAATTATTTGCATACCTCAATAGATTGCGTTTGTCGAGGCAGAGCAGATGACAGCGAACCCAGTTGACACCTAAGGCCGAAACCCATCCGTATGCTCCTGATCTTGGGCCAATGATAAGCAGGATTGCCGGCTTAAAGTTGGGTCTAAGTGTATTGGGAAGGGTTAGGCCTTGGGCCACTGTGCAGGAGATAGCTGGCGGGCTGAAAAATGAGGAATTGTAATTGTAATTGTTCTAGTGTAGCATGGCGTAGATGTACGGAGTACGGAGTACGGAGTGCAGTACAATGATTCCATGGAACCGGGAAAGGGAACCCAGCGCCTGACCGCCTCCTAACAGTGACTGAGTGACTGCCGGGCCTGACCCGCCAAAACTAGACTACGGTTCCGTCACCTCATCTCCATCCATCTTTCGCTCCCTCCTCTTGTACTACTTCTACTTCTACTTCTACTTCCCTTTCTCCTCCCGCTTCCTCTTCTTTTACTCCCTCATACCCTCTTTCTTTCTCAACCTCCTTGACTCTCTGAACAATTCACCTCTCTCTACCTCTAACTCGTTATTCGCGTTCTCTGCAACTGGATTCAATAATTCAGCGCCTTGGCCCTTTACATCTGCCCTATCGCTACCCAGATTCGCCCCGCTCATTGCTTCCCCGCTTCGACCTTGGGGAAGACCTCAACCTCCAACACCGACATTTTTCGTCGCTTGATTTTACTGAGACCCGGTTTCGTTCCCCCCCATACTGAAACGATCACCCACGAGAATTTCAAATCCCCCCCAATCCGTCAAAATGAGCAGCCCTAAGCGGAGAATCGAGACCGATGTGAGTATCCTCCTTCCGTACCTGTCACGAGAGTGGCGGAAATGCTGACGGTGGTGTTCTTTGACAGGTTATGAAGTATACTACGCCATAAGTGCCTCGCGATCGCATGATAGCTAACTAATGGGCCACAGGATGTATGCGCCCCGGTTTACGCCGTCCCCTTGTACCTACGCCGCCGATGGAGATAGATTCACGAAGACATTCGAGCGGGACAGAATACATAGGCATAATGCTGATGGACAAATAGGTTGATGAGTGACTATGAGGTGACTCTGGTCAATGATAACAGTACGCTGCTGCCCTTCTGGACCAAGCTGCCTTGCATTTGCTAACAATCGATGTAGTGTACGTCTCATTGCCCACGGGTTCGCAGTCGAGATTCGCGACTTATTAATCTACCACCAGGCAAGAATTCTACGTCCGCTTCAAGGGCCCTGAGGAGAGTGAGTGGTCTCGCATTCCACGTTCAATCCAAGTCGAGTTTGCTAACCAAATTCAAGCTCCGTTCGCTGGTGGTCACTGGAAGATCCACGTCGAACTCCCCGATCAATACCCATACAAGAGCCCCAGCATCGGGTTTGTCAACCGGATCTTTCACCCGAACATCGATGAGCTGTATGTACCGTTATTTCCCAACCGTCCGATTTTCCCCATAACCTGCCCCAACTCACCTTTGGTTTCTCCCCACCCAGCTCCGGCTCCGTCTGCCTCGACGTCATCAACCAGACCTGGTCCCCCATGTACGACATGATCAACATCTTCGAGGTCTTCCTCCCTCAGCTCCTCCGCTACCCCAACCCGTCCGACCCTCTCAACGGCGAAGCAGCAGCCATGCTCATGCGCGAGCCCAAGACCTACGACGCTAAAGTGAAAGGTAGGGAAATACATTCCTCCACCCCCGGTCAGACTCTTAAACATACTAACCCATATTCAACAGAGTATGTCGCCAAGTACGCCAGCAAAGACGCCGTCGACGACGCCGGCGAAGACACCGAGTCGGAAGACGAGCTGAGCTCGGCTGGAAGCTATGAATCCGGTGGCGAGGAGCCGGCCGGTACGATGGATGATGTCTAGAGGTACTGTACCAGTCGTCCGCTTTCCTCCTTCGCAACCAGGCCCTTGCATCTAGACTGATTTCAGTCACCTTTTTTATTTTTTTCCCGAACTTTCTTTGCTCCTGATTTGGACATTATACTCCCATCTATATCGCATTGGCATTATCTCATCCTTTTACTTCTCCGCCTCTTATCTTCTCCTTGCCCTCTCGCGATTTGCGATTTATTTTTATCATCTTATCAAGTGAGATCATGCCGGTGTCAGGCTGGAAGGCGTTCCATGGCGGAGTTTCTCTTTTTTTGTTTTCCCTTTCTGCTGAAGTCCACTGGTGCAATCGAAATGTCTTTCTTCCTCGTCATGAGGATGTTGTTGGGGATGCTGTAGGATGGGTTGGAGCTGGTTTGTGAAGGCGCTCAGCTTAGGTGTACTATTACCCACCTACCGACCAGTGACGGCCCACCTGTCTCTATCCTTCCCTACACTCCGTGTTCTCTCGAGATAATACAGCAAGTTCCAACCCTCATGGATTTGTATAATAAAAACCAAGATTGTCATGCCTATTGGTACAGTCTATTGCACAGTGGCACAAACAACAACTGTCTATGTCATAGATCTCAATTGAGATGGTATCGGAGTGCGCGCCTCAGGCCGAAGTAGCCGGGGCAACAATCTTACTACATAGAAACCGGGCAGGAAAAACAGCTCATGCGTCCATCACACCACAGAGAGACCAAAGTCGAGAGGAAGATGACAACCACAGAACAGAAAAAAAGAAACCCGACATTCAAAGAGAGGAATGAAATGAAGAGGAAGGACACAGGCTAAGCCAGGGTATTATGAAAGGGGGGGAAAGGAAAGATGACCAACATGGGAATCTACCATCAGAAGATGACGGCAAAGAAGAAGAAGAAGAAGAAGAAGAAGAAGAAGAAGAAGAAGGAGAAGAAAGTTAGATATGAAGGCTCCAAAGAAGGGGGGCAAGAAAACGGAAGATCAAAAAGATTGACAATAAAACGCCCGTCGTCGCCCGGCGACCCATGAAAAATGCAAGATGAGTTTGAGGATGCGTATGAGGAAGGCAGAGAGAGAGAGGGGGGATTATCGACCGATGAGGAAAAGTGTCTTTGGCGACCCTCGTTTTTGAGTCAAGCTGCTTATGTCGTTTTCAGCAACAGCTCGCAAAGAGCTGGCGCAGTGTTGCTCGTTCGCTGTTACTGCTCTTCAGCTCAGACAGAAACACGTCCGTGCGCTGCTCCTCCTCCCCTGCCTTTCCCCGCCCCAGTTTGGGTTTACTTTTGATCAATTCTTTTCTCCGAGGTTTAGGTCACTTTCAACACCCCAAAGACATCCCTCGACGCGTCCTCATCCGTGCTCGAACCAGGTCGCGACCGGTTCTTGCGCGTGTTGATCACCACCTCCCCCCAATGCTTCGGGACCGTCCCGCCGGGTTTCGGCGATGCGGCGGATCGGCGCGGCGCGCGCGGGGGGGTCGTGTCCGTTTTCGTGACCTTGACGGGCGGAGGGGCTTCGGAGGTCGAGGTGGAGGGGGCGACAACGGCGCTGGGGAGGGTTGCATGCGGCTGGAGATGGGGCTGGGGTTGGATCGACCAGATGTCGATGACGGAGCTGTAGATTTCCAGTAAGTCATTCAGATTCGCTCGCTCGCTCGCTCGCACCAATACAAATCTAGTAGGGAAAGCTGTGGGTTGCGCTTACTCCGAGGCTCTTTGGCAGATGGCTTCTAATGCTTCTCGTTCGCGCTTCAGGTAGCCCGGATCCGGGTGGTTGCCGGGGCTGGCGTTGTTGAGGGATCCGTAGCCGTAGCCGGGTTGGTTGTAAATGTCTTCTTCGAGGAGGCGGGAGGATTCGCCCTATGAGTGTTGCAGTTTGAGTTAGCGGGGGTTTATGTTGTTTTGAAAAGAAGAAGGGTTTGCGCGGCGAGCTTTCGGCGCAATGTCTGGCTAAGGAGAAGACATGGAGTTGAAGGGGGGGGTATGGGAAACGTACATCTTGGCTTTTTGGGGGACTACGCCCCAGACATGAGGCGCAAATACCCATTGTGATTGTTTATGGTTGGTTGGCTCTGGTGATGGTGTATTCTAGTCAAGGCGAGAGGAAAGTATCTTGTTTTTGGATGTGGTGTGACGTTGGCTGGGGATGTGAGATAACACGGATTGAAACTGGGCGATAAAGCGAGCTGGAAAACGAGAGACGGTCTCAATTCAAAAGAAGGTTGGTTGCGGAGTGCAATGTACAGGAGCGCACCAGGCGGTGATACTGAAGGTGAAGGAGGGGTTGTGTGTGGGTGGTGGTGGTGGTGGTGGATGAAGCTGGTGGTGTGGTGGTTGTACAAGTTGAGATAGTGAGGCGTCCGTGGGTGGAGCAAGTTATCCGGGAACCTCATGAATGCCACGGGCTGGCGCTCTTCCTTCTATGCCTAATCCGTCCGACACATGTGGCCCGTGCGTGGTGCTAGCGCTCCATCCAGCCACTATACAGTAAGTTACTAGGTACACAGTAGCAGCACAGTGAATACTCCCTCCTCAAAATAAGAGTGCTAGGTAGGTAGAGGGATGTAGATGTAATTGTACCAGTAGTAATTGATGCAAACAAAGGTACTCTAATAACCAACACAAGATTGGAGGCAGAGCTCCAGTCCAATCAATTCCTGAAATCAACAATCAATTGAACAAGCGCGATGCATACAGCCAATGCTCCGGGGCCGTGGCCGCACCAGAAAACCACCGGTGGAAATAAAGCTGTCCGCGGCCGACGACCGACAATTTTCATTTCCACCGCCAACCCGCCAACCAACCAACCGGCAACGAGTCACCGTCACCACCAGCTCGCAGCGCAGATAAACAAACAGATCTGTAACGCGATCGATTCTCCTTCTAAAGAAAGCATTAGCTTGCTTATCTCTCTTATCCGACTGGTGACCACTTCCCGAAACCGACACCATGTTTGACCTTCCTATGGCAAAACGGTATGCCGATGTCACGACTTGCGGTTCTTCAGTGCCCTCCAATCCACAATCCCACTAACAGAGCTCCCGTATTAGCGTTCGACGCGATGAGCTACTCTCCAGAGACTCAGAATCTCCTCCCGCATCGCCGCCCCCGGAATCCGCGCTTCCAGATGTCCAGCAGCGCCTTGGGGCATTGCTCGATCTCGACGCCCTGATCGCACCCGCATACGCCGCCCCTGAATCCACCCAACCACAGGACAACGAGCACAACGCGGATGAAGAGGAGCAAGAATTCGAATTCCGGTTGTTCAGTGCTCCTGCCCCGGCGACAGCCACGAAACCCTTGGCTGGTGCGACGTCGGACGGCAAGGACGCAAACGAGAACAAGGTGACGGACCCCGCCGCTGCGGCGGGGGTGGCGCAGAAACTACGAATCCGGGTCCGGTCTCCATCTCCTGGGGCTGGAGGTCTTGAGGATGGTCGCTTGGTGAACCCCTTCCGCGGATATGGGCACTACTTCACCGCGCCGGGGTCGATGACGGGGGGAAAGGCGGACAGCCAGGAGGAGGAGATCCTCAGAGCTAAGAGGCAGCAATTTGAGGAGGTGGCAGTATCTGGGCTGCAGATGCTGGGGTTCGCTCAGGTGCCGTGGGTAAGTATCCAACCTCTTTTCTCTTGAGCGCTGTGACGTGGGGAGCACGCTTGCTAACTGTGCTTCTCGAAGCCTGGTTGTTATCTTCCCTGGAAAGTGGTTCATCTGAAGAGTGAGAAGACGGCGAAGGGATCAAAGAGTGCAGGTGATATCGACAGCCAGCCGACGACTTGTGTGGTCGATCCGCCCGAGAGAGTCCCCGTTTCGAGCAAAAAGCCCGGAAAGAAGCGGCGCATCCAGCTGCGGAAACGCCGTTCGGCCAAGGATGAAGCGAAGAAGCGGCAAGAGGAGGAAGAGAAACGTAAAGCGGAGAAACGCAACCGCAAGAATCGCGAGCAGAAGCTCAAACGGAGACAAAAGGCCAGAGAACAAAAGGCCGCTGCAGCAGCTGCCGCCACTGCCGCTGGCACCGCCGAAGGTCAAGCTGCACAACCTGCTGGGGTGGAGGACGGTGCTTCCTCGGATGGAGGAAGTGACTGAGGCCTTTCGAAAGTGTACTATGTCTCCCATTCATTCTTAGCCTATGATACCCGTGCCGATATCATGTTCCAACAATTATCTTCTTCTGCGGATTCTACACTTCTACTGCGACTGACTAAATCGGCACATGTCGGTCTATTCTGAGTTCGGTTCAGACGATTAAAACGGTATGGAAGGATGCCAAGCTAACAGAAACAAGATAGGGTATTTTGAGAAGATGGTATCGGCCACAGAGCACAAGGAAAATCGGTAGCAGTCAATGCTGGGTATGAGATGCAAGGTATTAAGGAATTCGAGGGTAAAAGAATGGAAGATGCGTGGAGATCACGACGCATCGCTCATCGGCATGAGTTCGGTTACTTGGACTCTTCGGCTAGACGCAGGCTGTTAGTCAAGGCCTCGTCGTCGGGTTATGGCTGGCTTACCCTTTGCTTGTCCAACAGTCTCGGCAGGCTTGTCAGCAGCAGCTTCAGCAGCAGCCTCGGCCTTCTTCTCCGCGGCGTGGTCCTCCGCCACGGTTTCTGCGGGTGCGCCCGTGTTAAGTTCCAGAACCGGAGCAGTTGAGGATGTCACAGGCTCAGTAGGCTCCGGCTTCGCTCCCTCAGCGGGGGTCTCAGCGGGGACATCTGGTATCATTAGCCATCAGGGCTCCCATAAGTCATTCATGATCTCTTTACGCACCGGTCTGGGGCTCCGCAGCAGCAACATCAGTAGCAGGAGTAGCTTCGGGGTTTTCTTGGTCGGTCTTCTTCTTCTTGAAGATAGACTTGAGCTTGGTCTTCAACTTAGCAATGAAAGCCGGCGCTATATTCTACGTTAGCTGATATTCTTCTCATCAGTTCAGATTAAACAGGCAATGGCACTTACCCATTATGAACAATATGGAAATATTAGGTAGAATTAACTGATGGTAGAAGAGAAGCGAGTAGTTGAAGCCTGGCAGGTCACCGGCTAAAGATCACGACGATGAAGTTGTTGAGGACGTGGTTAAAAGAGTGACTGAGGTTAGAGAACAGAGAACAAAGAACAAAGCAGACAATGATTTCGCATCTCCCAGTAGGTATTTGTATTCCACGTGACGGGGGCACGGTCCTGATGGTGATGATCGCTTGCCTGTCCACTCCGTAATTTGCCTAGCTATTGCTGCCTCCTTTCTTTTTCTTTTTCATTAGCACCACCACGTCCCTTTTGACTCCTTTTTTTCTCTCTGCAAGCTTCATTTTCCACCGTCACGACCCCGCAGGCGCCTGTTTCAGGTCCACCGTGCCCATCAGGGGAGAATAAAAGGGAAAAGATTTGACATGGACCAATTGACTAAACTTGGTAGTGCTCCGTTTGAAAGGCGAGCTGGTGGACGACTCCGAATGGTTCGAGAACGGACGAAGAGTCACCCCATCATCTATCTATTGACAACGAACCAGTCGATCTGGGCCCGACTATTCTCTTTCTGCCATGGTGGCTTCCTTTGCACCGTTGGTGTAGGTCCGTTGGTAAACTAGATAATTCCTAAATCGCCCGTCCCAGCTTGTTGTTGACCGGAGATGAGTTGTTGCGATTTCGGGAAACCCTAACTCTCGCCCCCCCCCCCCCCCCCCCCCCCCCCCCCCCATCGCCTATACTCCCTAACCTCCTAAACTGCTGGTCCAAACGGGAACACGACTTTCAATTCAGGGGGGGAATACAAAGCTCTAACCTGTCAGAAAACTTTTTCTAAATGCTGCTCGAAGGATCTGACGACTTAGTAAACCGATGATGATAGAAGCAAATGAGCTACTGATCCACTATTACTTAAAGGAAGGTCCTGATAATACGCTTATTCGAAGCTATTTGAGCCAAACCACTTGCTCTGGTGGGGTCATCTATATGAAGTCACGGAAATTGCCCTAAACATGGATTCAACTTGACCACAGCCAGGTTTGCAATGCAAGCCTCTTGACCTTGTAGATTTTTACAGCGGTGCGAAGCGAGAGGGAAAAAAAAAACAACTTAAGATTCCCCAGGGTCCATTTGAGGCCCCTCCAATCTTTTACTTTTCATCTATCGCAGTCGTTTCATTTCGGGCTGGCTGCGTAAAATGCATCTTGGGCCGTCCAACTGGCAAGGGTCTGTCTCATGAGGAGATCGCTTAATAACTGCGAGAAGCGTTGAAATCTTGTTTCATCCGATGTCTGTGCTGCCATTCGGTTCAAGATCGCGCCGTCCTCGCACTTGGTTCTTTTCAAGGCCTTCTCAACACCCTGAGGTCATCAAGTCATCTATTGGATCACTAGTGACTAGGTAGTGACGGCTGGCATGGGTGCCGGATTGATAGGTCTGACCGTCTAGTCCATAAAAAGGCTATGCGCGAGAGCGATGGCCAACTCCGTTCATTTCGTCAGGGGTAAGAGGCTCCGGGTGCAAGTAGCTTAGGGCTTTCGGCAACAGAAAGAAACTCATGACTAAACAGGTCTCAATGATTGATGATTGGGACAGGGGTAGAAGGCTACCTTGCGGGAAATCCCTCGGACATCATGGATGATATCTCTAAAGTCTGGGCATTATGCTCTTATCTCTGGAGTGAAGAAAGTTCCTAATTCATTTACTTGTTGTTGTTTGGTGAACGGAAACAAAATGAAAGATGGCTGACTAACTAACCTGAACCACCGATCGCTCTGCCGCCTTGCCGCGCGGGAGATAAGGTATCGTCATCCTTGCACTCTATCTGGAGTACCTCCCACCTTCCCGCGCTGTCAGATGTCGCGGTACAGTGAATCGACCTCGATACTAATATAGAGATGTCCCCTGGTCAATCCGCAGCAGATGTCCCGTCCACAAGGCCGGTATCGGAGCAGACCCCTCTTCTTGGGGACCAAAGGCAAGATGATCTCAATCAGCCGGGTGACTCTCCGGTTCAGTTAGCCGACGAACCCACCACCAGGGAGCTGATCCTGGTGATGGGAAGTGTCTGGGTTGGCGTCTTCCTTGCTGCCTTGGGTACGTGACCTTCTCTTCAATTTCTCTGCCACTTCCCTAGCTTACCGGTAACTAGATACCACGATTGTCGCAACGTTGAGCGCTCCAATCTCCTCGTCCTTCCACTCCTTGTCCCTGCTATCGTGGCTGGCCACGTCCTACCTGATATCCAATGCCGCCTTCCAGCCGCTGAGCGGTCGACTGACGGATATATTCTCTCGTCGGGCAGGGCTGGTATTCTCGAATGTCTTCTTCGCCGCGGGGACGCTGATGTGTGGACTCGCCAAAAGCGAAGGTGCTATCATAGCGGGTCGTGTCATTGCGGGCATTGGAGGAGGTGGTCTGACCGCCATCTCGACCATCATCAATTCGGACTTGGTTCCGCTCCGGAAGCGAGGAATCTGGCAGGGCATTGGTAACATTTGCTACGGTGCTGGAAGTGGTCTGGGTGGTGTCTTTGGCGGATGGATCAACGACACGCTGGGCTGGCGGTGGGCTTTCCTGATCCAAGTGCCCTTCATTGTGGTGTCGGGCATTCTGGTGACTGTCATGGTAAAAGTGCCAGTCAAGGACACCGACGATGCCAAACTGAAACGGGTCGACTTCCTCGGAGCGGTGACCTTGGTCACCACGCTTGTCTTGTTTCTGCTCGGACTCAACACGGGTGGAAACCAACTGCCATGGACGCACCCGCTCATCCTGGTCTCGCTGCCGCTAGCCGCCGTGTCCTTTGCCCTCTTCCTCTATATCGAGGCCAAGATTGCGTCGGAGCCGGTCATCCCAGTCCGGCTCCTTCTTGACCGGACGGTCTTTTCCGCCTGCTTGACCAATTGGTTCGGCACCATGACCGTCTTCGGGCTTTTGTTCTACTTGCCCTTTTTCTTCCAGGTCCAGGGCCTCTCCGCTACCGCCGCCGGCGTGCGGTTGATTCCGCAAGCCATTGGAACGTCCATTGGTTCGCTGGGGGCTGGCGTTCTCATGCGCTCCACCGGGCGCTACAAGGTGTTTGTCCGCATCACCCTGACTCTTCTGGTCATCGCTTCCATCCTGATCAGCACGTTGTCGCTCACGACTCCGGCATGGCTCCCGTTTATCTACTTCTTTCTGATGGGCACGGCTTACGGCAGTATGCTGACTCTTACCCTGGTGGCACTGATCTCTGCCGTGGACCACGAACATCATGCCGTTATCACCTCTGCATCTTACGCCTTTCGCAGCACGGGTAGCACGATTGGCATTACAGTGGCCTCCGCCGTCTTCCAGAACATTCTGAAGTCGGGGCTCTGGAGACGATTTGGCGATCGGGAAGATGCGGGAGAGCTGATCTCTAAGATCCGAGACAGTCTGGATGAGATCCACCGTCTCCCCGCGGATTGGGTCCCAGGGGTCTTGGATGCGTATATTGACTCCCTACGGGCGGTATTCCTTACACTGCTCGGATTGGCGGTGCTGGGAGCGTTGGTCAGCATGGGCATGCGGGAGCATAAGTTGCACTCGAATCTCTCTCGCCGTGAGGATTAGAGTTGGGATGAATGGTAGTCGAGGGGTAAACTCTACACTACAAGCTATACAAAGTATGTACTTAGTAGAAGAGCAGTAGAAGAGCAGTAGAAGGGTAGAATGAAAGAATGGAAAAGACTACCTAATGAATACATCATCGGGATTGGGTGGCCTGAGGCCCCACATTTCCCATTTGTCCCTCCATGATTAATGGTTCCATTTCTCATGCATGGCCGGTCAGTGGCACACTGACTCGACTCTCCGCTCTTTCTTCACTCCCCTTAGTTTGGTTGTGACAGTCCCTCTTTTTTTTTTAATTCCCTTACTTCCTCACAGTACTACTCTCTCATCACCCTGAGATCATCCACCGTCTTTACACATACCTATAAACCTGGTGGCGTGCAGCAAACGGAAAGACGTGGTGACGACTGCCCTACCCCTACCGCATTCCCGCCCAAGCTTCCCTTCATCTGCGAATTTACGTATTATTCTGCAAGTCCCGCGCTCTCTCGCCCAACACACCGCTTAGTTCCTCCGATCAGACCACCAGTCGTTCAACACGTGCGGTTGCTTCGAGGTCCGCCTCTTGACTGCACTGTACATGGCTTGCACTCAATAGTTCAACATTATTCGTCTGGGAGGAGAACGGCTTTCTTGGGTTGCAATCAATTCACTGCCAAACAGTCCACTCTCTGCCACTGCTACTGCTCCAGACTCCCTCTTTATCCTTACCGCTCTATTCTCCACTTCCTTTCAAACGCGAGGATTGCACTGGTTGCGACTCGTATCCTTGACCGTGACAGGTACAAAAAAACTTGACCAGGGAGTTGGTATTTGCTTTGGTGACGATCCCTGCCGGCAAGCCTTGTTCTTAACGGTTCTGTTTTAGCTTGGACGACTCGGGGGGGACTCACTCAGCTATAATACCGCGCGCAAGGCCCCATACCACCCACACACCATCCCCGGCCCGATCGAACAACTCTCCTTTGTGACACCCTTTCCCCTGATCCTTGTTGAATCGGATTGTTATGGCAGTCGGGGTCGGGACGAGCATCTCCACGACATCGACGGTTGCAAGTGTGGGTTCGAAAGCTGCCTGGTCCTCGGAAATGGAGGTGGATTCTGCGAGGAGCGAGGAAATGGTCACTGCGCATACAAGTATGGTCGGATCCTGCATAGATAATGAAATGAAAGATCTCGCTGGCTCTTCGACCCGCCGTCGAAAACGTTTACTCCTCTCCACTGATAGCGCATTCGTCGACAACGTACTTCCCTCCTTGGTGCGGAATCCGGACATCGAGCTACGGTTGATCACCGACGAGCCCTCGGCGCTGCTCTCGAGCGCCAGCAAGGTCCCGCACTACATGGATACGGTGGATAGCCAGACCTTCGAGAAGAAAACGGGCGCGCGGAAATGGTTGAAGGCCAAGGCGGCGGAGCTGTGCGACTGGGCGGATATGCTCCTGGTCGCGCCGATCGATGCGGGAGCGCTGGGTTCCATGCTGTCGGGCTTGACTAACACCCTCACGCTGGCCCTGCTGCGGGGCTGGACGTCGTCGAAACCCGTGGTGCTCATCCCCGGCATGACCGTGTCGGAATGGAGCCACCCGCTCAGCAAACGGCAGCTCTGGGAGGTGCGGCAATATTGGTCCTGGATCAAGGTCGTCACGCCGGTGCTGTGGAAGCCCGGGGATACGGAAGAATTGGTACAATTGCCCTGGGATGGATTGAAGGTTCTCCACGACACGATTGAACAGACCCTGAAACTATCTTTCTCGGAAACACATCCTGCTTCCGGCCAGCCGTCAGATCATTCGAGCGGACCGCCAGAAACGACGCAGACGGGGGATGTGCCCTCAGCCATGTCGCGACACCTGCTATATCGCCTGAATAAGACCGAACATGGCCCGCGCTCATTACCGATGGAGCTCTGGTTGAATATCTTCGAGGACCAGCTACACGACTGGGAGATCGCCAAGGCCGTGGGCATCCCCACGAACCTCCCCGTGCCCAAAGAATGGCAGAACCACCTGCTGAAAATGTCCACACCGGCCTCGCTCGAATACACCATCCTGCGAGGATCCTTCGCGGCGATCAAGAAGCGCATCGACAGCCTCCCGCGCTGGAAACCCCTCTCCGATCTCTCCCTTCACCTCATCTTCAAATTCTCCCGAACCGACATCCTCTCCTACCTCATTGAGAAACAGCATGACCTCCTCTGGACGACCTCTCTCCTCAGCGTCCTCCCCTACCGTGCCTCGGCCATCTACGGCAACCCCAACCTCCTGACGTGGTGGCGCGACGCCCCCGACCTCCCGAACAAAGACTACACCACCGACGCAATGGACGGCGCCTCGCGGGCCGGCTTCGTCAACGTGCTGGAGTGGTGGCGCACCTCCGGCCTGGAACTGCGGTACACGGAGCGCGCCCTCGAGGCCGCCAGCGCCGAGGGCCAAGTCGCCGTGCTGGACTGGTGGAAGCGCGCCTCCTCCGCCCCCCCTGCGACCTCCTCACACGCCGTCCTCGCCAGTGGCCGCCGCACCCGCATCCCGCTGAAGGTCGGCAAATCCGTGCTCCTGGCCGCGCAGTCCGGCCGCACCGCCTCCCTAGCCTGGTGGGACGCCTCGGGGATCCCCTACACGCACGGCGAGTCGGTCGCCCGCATCGCCAGCACCCACGGCCACGTGCACGTCCTGGAATTCTGGCACCGGCTCAAGGGCGCCAAGATGATCTTCGACAGCCAGGTCCTGGTCGGCCCCACCAAGAACGGCCACGACGCCGTCCTGGAGTGGTGGCGCCGCAGCGGCCTGCGCGTCGAGTTCAAGACCTGCGACATCGAGGAGGCCCTCGAGGACGCCGACCCCGTCTCCGGCGCCGAGCAGCGCGTGCGCACCTGGTGGGCGCGCAACGGGTTGAACCTCGGCGTGGGCACGAGTGAGTGGATGAAGACGAAGGTGCTCTAGCTCCGATCTCCTCCTCCGGCCTATCATCAATCTCCTCCCACACCATTGCAAATATATCCATACAGTTCTATCCTCAACCACCCGGTATCACAGGAGCCATCACAGGGCTGGGAATCCGCTCACAAAAATGGACCACCCGATGACTTGCTTCAAACCCCACTTGCTATTACCCCTACCCCGTTTATTCATAATACCCTCTTCACACCCTATTGCTTCTCCCTTCCTCAACCGTATCATACTTTTTTGCTTGGCGTTCCGAGTGATTGTTTATTACCTATATAGACTGGCCTTTATCACGATGATGACCAACCAACCAACCAACCAACCAACTCAACCTGGGAAATACCTTTTGTGCGTGCTTCCTTTCCATAATCTTGATTTCCTCTTAAATATTACATACCATTCCACTGAAATAACCTGGGGGGGAACTGGGTTTGTTCTAGCAGGGTGTCGGTGTCGGATTTGAAGTCAGCACTACTTTCAATTTTGTGAACCGTAACATAGTCTTGCATACTTGAAAACACACTGCATCTAACTTATATGGGTAACGTAATATGTAATAATTCATTTCGATCGATTGTTATAATAGGAATATTCTTTTTCTCGAAAACTTCTATCTCCTGAGATCAAAGATCGAAAATCGGTGGGGATTGGGTGGAAGAAGGGTAAGGTAACAGGGGCATTTCTTCCCCAAGTCTCAAGAAAGAAATCAGGCGAGACGGCCATCTCAAGGCGTTGTTTGAACAAGATAGAGTATAATAACAATAGCATTCGAGTCATGAACAAGTTGAATCGCACAAGGAAATAAAAAACGGGGGTGCAGAAAAGGCCATGGAATCTGAGCGCCATCGGAAAGGACAAAAAGCAACGCCGTCCTGTCTTTGATAAACACACATTCACATAAACAAACACGTCAAGAATTCAAACTTCCTTCCTGCAACGGGTGTTAGTCATGTTTTCCGACGGCGTAAGCAAATCCAGAGTTGTATGTGTGTACATACCAGGTAGGTTCACTTCTCTCATGCGCAGGGGTCCGGATCTCATTTCGGTCCCCAAATGGATTGTTCTCGTCGTCGTCCTCATCAGTCTCGGACTCGCTATCACTGTACGTCTTGCGTCTCGATGAGGAGGAAGGCATGGATAAGCTGAGCGGCCGGGGCGGACGCGGAGGCTTAGGCGGGTTGACAGTCAACCCGGCGAAGGACTCCGGGAGGTCGTCGCGGTCAGGGGTCCAGCCGCTCTCAATCACATCTTGGTCGCTGTCACTGTCGTAGTCAACGCTCTTGTCCAGGACCTCGAAGGCCATCAATGCCGTGACGAGCTCCTCGTTGGCATGGATTAGGCTGCCTAGGTACTCCTCGCTTTCGACGTGCTGGATGTACCGCAGGATCTGGCGCCGGAGCGTCTTGCAGGTCTCAAACCGGTTGAGGACCTCTGCATCTTCGCTGACCCGGTGTGTCTCGCGGTTGACCAATTTGAGCGCGTTGAGAAGGTTCGTACTGGCGACCGAGGAGGACGCCAGCGTCTGCAAAATCTCCGGCTTCTCCTTGTCCAGGCTGAAACTGCGGCTGAGCGTCCTCTTCTCCTTCTTCTCCTTGCGCGAGGAGCGGCTGGATGTGTGCTTATGTTTCGGTCCGCTGAGGACGGTCGCGGGCCCGTTGCCGGCGGAGACCGACACCGTATGTCCCATTACGGGCTCGTCGGATGTGGCCGAGTCGCGTAGCACTTTGGCCTTCGCCTGGGTAGCCGGCTGCTTGCGTTTGGGCAGCTGGCGATAGAGCGCCGTCACCCGCTCCATGCCGGGGGTGTCCTTGTATGATGCGGCCCATTGTCCGAACAACTGCTTGCATTTCTGTTTGACCAGGGGATCAGAGACTGGGTCGGTGGCAGCGATGCGCAACCGTTCCAGCAAGGGCTCGTCCGCAAATTCGCGCAGGAACCGATCGCCGGTGTTCTGTATCAAGAAGTCGAGGATCGTAAGGGCTCGTAGCTGGCGATGGAGATTGCCATACTTGCTGCAGGATGCGTTAGTGAATTGGAGGGGGAAAGGCTGGCTTGACTGACAGCTTCTTGCGCAGCGCACGACTGGCTTCCCGCGGTCCACTAGCTTGTATGCGGATAGCTTCGATCAGGTCAACAATTCCGCTGGAGTCTTCGACATCGTATTGTTCGCTAGTGAGTACTTCGATTTGCACCGTCACGGCGGTGTATGGCTTCTATGAGAGTAGCAAGGTGATCAGCACTTGAGGTGGATTGATGAATGGTCCGGCGTTCAGTAAAATGTAACAAAGCAAAGACGACTGTTTGAGTGCTGGTCTGATGTCCGGACGACAGCCGCATTGGCCCGTCGCGTGGATCTAAGATAGACTTACCGAGGAGTGAAACATGATGTTTAAGAATGTGTCTAAGAGCAAATGCGGCCGTTAAGAAGTCGTGTGGTTTGCGAGGGTACTGCGGACCGGTAAATCGGTAGCGAGTACTTTCACATGCGCAAAGACAGGGTCGCAAACTGTGGTTGAGAGGGATGAGGTGATTTTGAGGCGGAGACCCTTGATGTACACCTATAATGCTATTGTAGAGTCGTTATGCAGATCCCAATTCGGATGGACCAGGGAATATTAAGGAGAAGCGCAAGAAAGCCGAAAGCCGCAGAGCGGTGACGTGTAGACACTAGACAGTGAGTGTCTGGGGTGCAGCACTCAGCCCAACCCGCAGATAAGGGTGGAGTGTGTTACTGATTTGAATTTCGGATGGAAGATCGATCCCAAAGCAAAGATGCACGCACGCACGAGAGGGGAGAGAACTGGCGAAGGAACACCGAATGAGCGCCTCCAACGTCATGCGGTAGATGTGTGGTTCGATAAACAACATAGACTCGAGAAGAGAGAGTGCCAGTGTCAGTTGCACTTCCAATCTCGTGACTGATTCGTAGTGCCCCTCGCCAGTTGCCCCATTGGGTCTAGTGCGGGGAAAGAGACAATGCAATCAAAATTGAGTGCCTTATTATTGCCTGATCTCTGCCTGGGGCTCCTCTTTCCGATGCCGCGCAGACCCAATTACGTACTCACTGCCCCATTCCTGGATAAAGGAGAGGAGGGGTATTTCCACCTCCATCATGAATCTCTGTTGAAACAGCTACCACATAGAAATTCATTCACAAGAATCACAACCCACACACGTAGAGGAGGGAATTGAAGCAATTGACCATCTACAGAAAGTCACTTACTCAGTAATTATCCCCCAATTGACCCCCTCTGGCTTGAGTTTGGAACTTGGAATGGGTCTTCGGTCTCCGAATTCGGCAGATCCTAGCTCCATCCGCAAACCGCGACTCTCCATCTTCTCCCGTCTCGTCGTCTGCTCCACTCTACTACTTGGAGTCAGCATCATCTTAAAAGCCCGCCACCATCTACTCTCCCCTCTTCTCCCCCACTTCTATTCCTCCTCCTCTATCCCTCATACCCAACCCGCGACCATGGCCTACCAACAAGAACGCTTCATCGCCGAACTCGCCGTTCAGCGCGCAACTCTCCTCACCCAGAAGGTCTTCAACGAGAAGGCCAAGGGAACCGTGTCCAAGGATGACAAGTCTCCCGTCACCATCGGCGACTTCGGAGCTCAGGCTCTGATCATCCAGGCCATCCGCAAGAACTTCCCCAACGATGAGATTGTCGCCGAGGAGGAGGCCAGCACGCTCCGCGAGGACAAGGCGCTGAGCGCCGAGATCTGGAGACTCGTCAAGGACATCAAGTTGGAGGACAGCGAGAGCGACAACCTTCTGGGCGGCGCCTTGCCGAGCGAGGAAGCGATGCTGGACATCATCGATGAGGGCAAGAGCGCTGGGGGCGCCAAGGGTCGCGTCTGGGCCCTGGATCCCATCGACGGCACCAAGGGCTTCCTGCGCGGCGGCCAGTACGCCGTCTGCCTAGGCCTGATCGAGGACGGTGATGTCAAGGTCGGAGCCATCGGCTGCCCCAACCTCCCCGTCAACGACTCCGAGACTTTGTCCGCCGGCATCGGTGCGGAGCAGACCAGCGGCGCCGGCAACGGGGTCCTTTTCTCCGCCATCCAGGGTGTCGGAGCCATCAGCAGACCCCTGACCAACGCCGGTCTCGCCGAGAGCAAGTCGATCTCCATGCGCCCCGTGCCTGACATCGCCCAGGCCGTTTTCTGCGAGGGTGTCGAAGCTGCCCACTCCGCCCAGGGTGACAACGCCGCCGTCGCCGAGCGTCTGGGCATCACCGCCCCAAGTGTGCGTCTGGATTCCCAGGCCAAGTACTGCTCCATCGCCAGAGGAGCCGGTGACATCTACCTGCGCCTGCCGGTGAAGAAGGACTACCAGGAGAAGATCTGGGATCACGCCGCGGGAGACCTGATCGTCCGCGAGGCGGGCGGTCAAGTGACTGATATCCACGGTCAGAGATTGGACTTCAGCAAGGGCCGGACCTTGGCTGCCAACAAGGGTGTTGTCGCCGCCCCCGCGGCCATCCACGACCAGGTCATCGACGCCGTGAAGGTCGTTCTGAAGTTGTAGAAAAAAAAAAGAGGTTACGAATTTCCTGTTATGCATAGATTGTGATTTTTTTTTTCATGTTGGCTGCATAAACTGTCAAGCTATATCCACGCTAGATGCGTCTAAAAGTACACAAATTTCAAAATACCAGTCGCGAACCCAGAGAACCATGCTCCGATATACATATACAGAAAGAAAAGGAAAGGAAAAATCCCCCAAAGGTATAAATGACCCCCCGATCACCGAATCTTCTTGGCCTTCAATCTGACGGTCTCTCCGTTGATGAAGATACCCTTGCCCTTGTAGGGCTCGGGCTTGCGCCATTCGCGGATCTCGGCCGCGAACTGCGTCACGACTTCCTTGTTGACACTCTCGAGCAGGATACGGGTCGGCTGGGGTGTGCTGGCCTTGACTCCCCACGGGACGGGGAGCTCAATCGGGTGGGAGTATCCGACCTTCAGGGAGACGAACTTTTGGCCCTTGAATTGGGACTTGACGGTGGTCGCCTGAGACTCGATCGTGGCTCTGTAACCGACACCGACCATACTCAGGATACAGATGTGACCTTCCGACACTCCCAGGACGTAGTTTTGTAGATGCGAGCGCATGGTTCCTGATTTTGTCATCGACCAGTCAGTTGGACCACTCGAAGACCCGCGGAGAAGGGATTTCCGGGGTAGAAGAGGTTTGTTCACATACCCCACATGGCACGCTGGTGTTTGATCTCCCGGTCCTGAACGGAGAGAGTGGCCTTCCGGAGGGCTTCATCGTGTTCGACGTTGACGAAAGGGGGGACTTTCAGAGTCATTTTACCTAGCATTCACTTCTTGTTAGATATACCATGAGAGTTGTTTCCTCGCCGGGGAAGTTCCGAAAGACTAGGACTCACCCAGAGGGCCCGACACCTCAATTGCAACCTTGGGAGCTTCCTCAGCACCTCCTCTCACGGAGACAACCGGGAGATCGATGAACTTGAGAGACACCTCCGGGGGAATGGTAATCGGGGCACTGCCCTTCCGCGATTGTGTCGGGGAAGTGGTTGAGAAAGGTTGTGTCCGGAGAGGGAGCGCGAAGGCTGAAGCGGGACGAGCAGACGCAGCGCCTGTTCTCAGGGAGCTCCGCGCAAACTGCCGGAGGCAGCTCTGGGGTAGAAGATTCGACATGGCGGCGTGGGTTGCGACTGGTGTTTTGATTGACTAGTCTGGGATTCTTTTGATGCGGACGGATTTTGTCCGGAGATCCTGTCTTCCTAATGCGGTTAGTGTAGATCACGTGAGAGAGTGTATAGATCGGGGGTGGGTGAGGTCTCTCTACAGCTTCTACTTCGGTTCTGCACTCGTGATGAAGTGATGTTGGAGCTGTGTGGTAAGCCTCACGGGTCTTTCCTCCGCTGAACTGAGGTTGACTTATGGGCTAGCCCAGAGAATGGGGATAACCTCACCTTCCCGCTTCACACCTGTCCTACTTCCTCGTTCCACTCGCTTACCTTATGAGTGTCAACTCGATGAATCTGCTACATTGTGCTTCAATTGACCTAAGTCCTACAGATTCTTAATCTCTCTACATTCAATACTGCATTACTATAGTCTTTATTTACTCCATACTTCTCCCTGGTACAATCTTGCGGACCCTCGACCTCGACACTAATATCCACCATGAAACTGCTGACTGCATTGTCCTTCGTCGCTATCATGTCTCAGCATATCATTATAGTGGTGCTCATATTTATCTTTAGCCTCGACAGTCTTGTGGAAGCAGTGCTTCCGGAAAATGGTACGCCTCTATGTGGCCACTCTCACGGCAATCGCTAACGATGCAAGCAGCTCTCGCAGGGAACGACAATCGTGCTATGGACGAGATCGACCTTACATCTCTCCTTACTCCCAGAGTGCCGAAGCAAAAGCCTATTATACAAGAAGCTCTCCTTCTCATCGATTCAATGAAGCTCGCCCCATCCTGCAGCCGGCTGGCGGTATCAGAGCTCGTCTCTTCTTGTCAGTCAATCGGGGGTCGGTCCGAGAAACAGGACACAGATATGTACCTGGACCTAGAGCTCGTGCGCTCGCTTTATGCAGCCCGTCTTGCCATTTGTGAGCTTCGAGAAGCTAAGGCAGCAGCGCCAGACACGTGTTCCTCATTGGTGATTGTGCCGCCGCAGAAAAGAGGCAGGTTCGGATTTATTTTCGGGGATAGAATCCGCTTCAGTGCTCCGGAGCTCATTCAGAAGCCGCAGTTGGAGTCTTGCCTTCAGTCGCTGGAGACCCGGCCGCAGTGGTGGACTTCCTACAGCAACAGTCGGCAGAATGCTGTGGTTATATGCCAGGCGGCCAGGGATGAGACTGAGAAGGCGGAGCTTTTGGAGCTTTATCGATCTATACTAAATAGCTCTGCCGAGCTGGAGCATGGTCTCCACGAGGCCGTGGAGGTCGCTGCAGCTGACCTTGTCCGTCAAAAAGAATTCATGCAAGCGGTCGGTATCATGAGAAGCAGGATGAGACAGCAACTGGAAGAAACCGATATGCGCTTGAGATCGACGATGGACCGGATTTTGCACGGCCTGTACGCGTATGCCGTCGACTCATTCAAGGAGTCCCTAGGGCCTGCGATCGACACACTGCAGCAAAAGACAGACACCCTCGAATTCGTGAGTCTGCATTTGCTTACATGACTAATACTAAGGTTAATGATCTGTCCAGAAACTCCAGACTGTTGCTACCGAAGCTGATAAGCTTGCTCACACACTACACGCTCTACACCAAGAGTCTGCCAAGAGGGACCAGGAATTGGCGGATGCGCAGCAGAGAGAGCTAGAGACCACCAGGGAGACGGCCTTGGCTCACCACGAAAGCGTAGGAGCACTCTGCCAGGATAATCTGGCAAGACTCTTGCAATTTGATGCTTCTCTGGTGAGTATTTATTACCAAATCCTTTCAGTGAGCTAACTGTAGTAGGACCTGCTCTCGACTCGAATGGTATATATGCTGCAAATCGCGCAGAGCATGAATGAGGTTTGCGACAACTTCCAAGAAGACGAGAGAACATTACTAATTTTCAAAGCGCATGCCAGGCCTTCAGAAGGCTCTTAATGAGTCCGAAGAACGAACCGCACAGCTGCATCAAGCACAGTTGCGGCAATACGAAGCTCTACAAGAAACATCCCGATTACACCAGCAGCAACAAATTCACTTGACTGGCATGCTGGCTGATCTTGACAGAGCAGCCGTCATAGCTGCGAAAATTCTCAAGGCAATTGACCAGATGGGATCTAAGTATGGGCTGGATCTCGTACTGAAAGTGATGGGTGATATAGTCTGGTGCAGCCTCGTGATCTGGAATGTAGTTACAGAGCATTCAAGGGCAGTCGCTGTAATTTGTTCGGCCCCCTATCCTCCGCAGTCTGTATACCGACGTACTAACGGTCTTGATCTCTAGTCAATTATCTGTTTCGGCGTGGACATTGACTCTATTTCATTCGACATCCATCTTAATTATGTGTTTCCTTATTTTTGATATAATGTTCACACACTTGCACGGTGGAACAACCTAGCGGGTGGTATTTCCTTTCTGCGCTGTGGGTGACGGTTGAATATACTCTGGAGTGCACGATAAGCACCCGGGGCCAAGCCGAAGCTTCGTTGAACTTTCTGTATTCAGAATTCGATCCACCGGATCCTTTAGCTTGCTGTATCTCTGATTCTCCTGCCTGTTCCCATCGCCAAGTGCGGTTTTCGGTGAACAAATTCGACTTGCTTGAAAGAAATGACGCATGGACTATGTGATAGATATTGAGGCGGCACTAAATTCGGTAGAAGTGATGGAATGCAAACTGATGACTGGTCTGTTTCTTAGGGAGATGTGTCTCCGTGCCTCGGCTCTCTCCAAGTGCTGTATTGTAAGACAGAGCTGTGTTTCTGACAGGTAACGGAAGGAAGCCAAATCCTTCCTTCTAAGCCAGAAGGGGGCAAGGGCCCTGGTCCCCAAAGGTAGAGGAAGGCATCGAACCTCTTCTCCGCAAAATGCGGAGAAGTTGACGATCCCCGGAAAAGTGGCTGTGGGGTATGGGGGGGAAGCCCCTGGCCCAACCACAGTCTCGCATTTATTTAGCTTCATTTTCGGCTCCGCTCATCTGCCGGCATTAATCTCTTTCTCTCCTCCAAACACTTCCCATGCACCGCATCCCTCTCACCCCGGTACAATCTCGGAGGATTCTCAAAGCTTGACTGATGACTCTGCTCTGGATGCCCCAATCTCCACTCTTGATAGGCATCACTGGTGGAGACGGTGAAGCAAGCAAGTGGAAATGTTTCCGAGCAAGATGGGCTATAAAAGGGCTCCTCCTCTACTCGAGGGCTCCATGTTTCTATCCTCCCTCGCACAACAGTTGCGCTGAGAAACAGGTCCGTCAACATGAAAACACTGCCTCTTCTCCTGCCCTCCTTGGCTTTGGGCTCAGCCATTTCAACTCGACAAGATTCTTTTCAAAACAAATGTGCCAAGTTTGCAAGCAAGATTGATCTACCCAACGTGCGAGTAAACATTGTGGAATATGTGGCCGGAGGAACCAACCTCTCTATACCAGACAATCCCGCGACTTGCGGCGCTACCTATCAGGCTGTGACGGCCGACTTTTGTCGAGTCGCGATGGCGGTTGCGACCTCAAACAGCAGCGAGATCACACTGGAGGCATGGCTGCCTCGAAACTACACTGGTCGGTTTCTGAGCACAGGCAATGGAGGGCTCAATGGCTGTATGTCACCTCTCTTCCACTCGTTCTGCATGATTCTGTTCTTAAGTCTGACGCGTCTTCTTAAGGTGTTGGGTACGATGATATGGCGTATACAACCGGATTCGGCTTTGCGACGGTCGGTGCCAACAACGGACACAATGGCACGTCTGGCGAACCCTTTTACCAACACCCAGAAGTCGTCGAAGATTTTGCCTATCGGTCAGTTCACACTGGAGTCGTGGTTGGAAAGCAGTTGACCAAGCTCTTCTACGAGCAAGGTTTCAACAAGTCCTACTACCTGGGATGCTCTACCGGTGGTCGTGAGGGCTTCAAGTCGGTGCAGCAGTTCCCCGATGACTTTGACGGTGTGGTGGCTGGTGCTCCTGCCATGAATTTTGTAGGCTTGACCTCCTGGAGCGGTCACTTCTACCCCATCACCGGAACCAACACCTCAGACAGCTACCTCTCTTCTGAGCTCTGGAGTGTTGTCCATGATGAGATCTTACGTCAATGCGACGCTATCGACGGCGCGCACGATGGAATCATCGAAGATCCTGATCTCTGCCACCCGATCATCGACACGATCATCTGCAAACCCGGTTCCTCCTCGACCAAATGTCTCACCGGGGCCCAGGCAAACACGGTTCGCCAGATCCTGTCCCCACTCTATGGGCTCAACGGGACCCTTGTTTACCCTCGTATGCAACCCGGCTCGGAGGTGGCTGCCTCCGCAATCTACTACGGTGGCTCGCCCTTTTCCTACAGCACCGACTGGTACCGCTATGTGGTTTTCAGCAACCCGGATTGGGACCCGGCCACCTTCAATAGACACGATATTGCCGTGGCACTCAAGCAGAACCCGTACAACATCCAAACCTGGGATGCGGACCTGACCCCGTTCCGCAAGAGCGGCGGCAAGGTTCTGACCTACCACGGGCTCATGGACCAAATCATTAGCTCAGAGAACTCCAAGCTGTATTACTCGCGAGTGGCCGAGACGATGAACCTGCCGCCGGCAGAGCTGGACGAGTTTTATCGCTTCTTCCAGATCAGTGGTATGGGCCACTGTGGGGGCGGTGACGGTGCATACGGCATTGGGAACGTGGCCGATTCATTCAATGGCGTTGCGCCGGAGAACAACGTGCTCATGGCCATGGTGCAGTGGGTGGAGAAGGGCATAGCGCCGGAGTTTGTGCGGGGAGCCAAGTTTGTTGATGGAGTTGGTAGTGGAGTGGAATATACCCGCAAGCATTGTCGCTGGCCCCGGCGCAATGTATACAAGGGTCCAGGGAATTACACGGACGAAAATGCATGGCAGTGTGTGTAGTGCACGAGAGAAAGAAGAGATGGTGAAGTTGCAGCATAGCACATTAAGTATTACGCAAGTCATGAAAGAGTGGGAAATATTTTTGATTAGCGCATACACTACGGAAGCCTTGTACATAGATGAGTAGTAGGATGTGAAACCGCATGAGATCATTTTTTAATTCCAAGTTATGATTTCCTTTCCCCTCATCAGTCCGTATTTGGGTTGGTGCATGGCAGAACCAGGCGGTGAGAGGCAGCAGTTTCCCCTCTCGAGCTTCCTTTGGCTTCGCTGCTGCTCCGATCCATCCTCACGGCTACTCTCTTGAGAACCCACCGCTTCTTTCATCACTCGATTACATCTTACGTCTTAATCTATGTATGTACTACTACCTCTTCTTAACCCTCCATCCCTCCATCATCCCCAACACCATGAGAGTTGTATCCAGACACGAACCAGTCCAACCCAGACCGCCTTAGCAGTCAGTCGGAGTCGCGGCTGCAATGACTTGCTTGGGTCCGGTCAGGTTGGGCTGGGCTGGACTGGAGCTTCCCTGCAGATAAACTTGGCTGGTTGGCATGTGGTTCGTCTACTTTTCATCCCAGTTCCAGCTATCTCCTATCCATATCTCAAACTTGTCCACAATTGCTCTGAACGCCCTACCCTTCCCTGCCGTTGCCCTCCTCTGTCCCGCACCAGAAAGCTGACTGTTCTTCCCCGCGTCCGCGCGCGGAACTAGCGCTGATAGTTTAGCTAGCCTTAATTAATCGCCCTCCTTGGTTCGAACCACACAAGCCGCCTGAGACCTTTCCAACCTTTCACGGATCGCATTTCCTGTGTCCAACCTTCAGCTTTTCTGCGTCGTGCCTGTGCGATATACCACATACACACATACACACACGCACACACTAAATACATCCATTTTGCCTTTCGGCTGGCCATACAACCATATCCCGAAAGACCGAAAACGACAGGCCCGTAAGTGACGTCCCTGCCATGGACGAGTTCGCGCAAACACGTGGAGGGGATGACCTGTTCGACGATGAGATCATCCCCGTCTCTGCAGAGCAACAACAACAAATGCAGCTGCAAGAACAACAAGAACAACACTCCCCGCCGGCGGATGACTACCAGCAGCAGTCCTTTGAAGAGAGTATCGCGCCCGCAACAGCATCAACTACTATCGACAGAGACGTATCATCTCCTGCGCGGACTGACACCCCGTCGCGGTCACGCGGGGGTGAGCGACGGGGGAGGGGACGGGGAGGCAGAGGGGGCCGGGGTGGGCGGAGGGGGTCGCAGAACTCTGGCCGGAGGGGTGATCCGAACGTGAGAAATAATCACAATCATCATAATAATAAGACTACGGCGGAGAGCCCTGTGGAGGGTGGCGAGGACAGCAACAATCCCGTGGAGGAGGCTACGACGACTACTACTACTACTAACCCGGCTGCCTCTGGGGCTGCGGCTGCGGAGACAGAGCAACAGGCGGGTGAGAAGCCTGCAGCGGAGGGCCCGCGGGTGCCTGCTGTACGTGGAGATCGAAGTGCTACGGGTGGTATCAAGAAGGTACGTTTTCTTCACGGGCGTGGGGGGCTCTATGGTGGACTTTAAGCGTGGGGCTAATGAGTTTGTGTTTGTCTGTGTAGCCGAAACTCACGGAAGAGGAGCTCTCGCGTCGTATTGCGGCTGCGAAGGAAAACGCTGCCAAGGTAGCCGCGGCGCACGCTCGGGCTGAAGCTGACCAAGCCTCATTCCTTGAGAGGGAGAAGGTTGCGGAGGAGAAGAGACGCCAGGAACGGGTGCAGCGCCGGGTCATGGATAACGAGCGGGAACGCAACCGACAGCGGAAGTTGCAAGCCTTTGCGGGCCGGGAGTGGGATGCTCAGAAGAAGGAGGAGGATTTTAACCCGCGCGGTGGGCGCGGGGGCTTCCGTCGAGGTATGCACGGTGGTGTTTCTGGCTATACGAGGCGCGACTTTGAAGGGCAGCCTAGCGACCAGCCTAGTGGTGAGGTGCATGAGGAGCCCCATGGTGACAGTCCTCGAGGGGGCCATCGAGGTCGAGGCCGTGGGGGTCGCGGTGGACGTGGTCGCGGTGGTCATCGTGGCCCACGGGAGGATCTTCCCCAGACGGACGGCGCGGCTGAGAATCTACCAGGCCTGGGCGAGTCGAGGTGGGCTCCTGCTCCGGTGCTTGACAATGAGGCAGACTTCCCTGCGCTCCCTGGCAGTGAGAAGAACGGGAAGGATACCTCGAAAGAGGCCCCGAAAGAGTGGGTCAAGGAGGAACAGAAGGACACTCAGAAGGAGGTCGTCAAGGACTCCTCCGATGAGCCTAAGGAGCCAAAGGAACCTCTCAATGCTGCAACAACTGCAGTGAACCTGGACCTTCTCAACGTGGACCCTCTTTCACCGATGGAAGGGACTTCTTGGGCTGAACAAGTCGAGTCGCAGTAATGCTCTATTTAGGTCTACGTTTTATTCTTCCGTGGATTCTTGGATATTTGAAGACCTCCATGATTGATGCATACATTATAATTCCCCAATTACACTTTCTGTTGTCTGCGATCCAGAGGTATTATTTTTGTCTTTTCTTGTTATACCATAGCTGATAAGTTATGACGTGATGTATGTATATACAGAGTGCACCGCATCAGCTATGGTAGAATCAGTAGATGAGAGCCAAATCGATAAACACATCACTTCTACAGTGGCTTGTGTTACGAGTCCAGAATAGTACATGGCAGGGACCACCAATGCTTGGGGTAAGCAAGTGAATGCGACTGACCCCAAACTTGGGGGTGGCAACCCCGAAAATGACGTGTGTTCATGATGAGATCACCAACCCTTCATTCATCCCCCAGAGGGATACGAGTAGGGTATATAAACCCAATCCAGCAGATTTCGAAATGACCCCGATCAAATCTACATCTCTGTTACTATTTGCATAAATCGTGAGTCTTCACTTTCCCCTCGCCTCCCTTCCGCAGAACATACCGCATACGACGCCCAACTATATACTGTACTGTACATCCATCGCAACCACCACTAACCATATCTCCAGCACCACAACCACACGCTTCAATCCCCACCTATACCTAATTCAACAACACCCATCCACCCACTTAATTTACTAAATTAAACACCACGAAAATGGCCTCCAACTCCAACCGCCTCCCCCAAGCCACGAGCGGCGGCGCGTCCGCCGAGCCCACGCCCGCCAACAACGCCGGCGGCGGCAGCGGCTGGGGCGACTCGGGCCACCCCAAGGGCGGGGTTTCTGTACGTTTTGCCCTCCCCTTTCCCCTCTGTACCATCCCATAACTTATAGTTACTGTTCTGCCGATAACTAACGCCAACGACCGTAGAGCGACGTCATCACGGCCCCGGAATTCCGCGACATCAGCGACCAGAAGTCGGCGGCGGAGCACAAGTTCCTGGGCCGGTTCGACGAGGGCCAGGGGATGCAGGAGGGGACGTGCGCGACCGAGGACCACAGCTTCATGGAGCGGAAGCCCGGCGGGTCCGGGGCGCTGCCGGGCTGGGAGACGATGAAGGATAAGTTGGGTTTGTAAGCTTTCCCCGGGCCTTTTTTTTCCCTTTCTCCTTCGGGGGATGAGCGGTTGAGGGATGAGGGGGTGGATGCAGTGAGAGAGGTGAGGGGAGGGGAGGTGATAGATGGGACTGGCTGATGAGGGTTTAGTCTCTATCCTGAGTGAAACTTCTTCTTCTTCTGATTGAGGGGGAGGTGTTGTTGGCTTGGGCTGCCTGATAGGGGATGGCGTTATTCGTGTTCGCTGGGTTGTTGTAACTCTAGTGTTTGTCTTTTGTCGGTGGGGTGTATGGGATTATTAGGGTTAATGATATTATGAAATGGAATGCATGAATCTCTTCAAATAGTGATTGCATTCGTAGATAGGGTGTGATCTAAATGCTATATGAATACATGAACTACTCCGTCTTCGCCGTCTTCCCCTTGACTCGGTCCCGGAGAGCAACGAGCTTCCCACCCAACCTGCTCTTTAGGGTCTGCGCTCGCATGGCCGAGGCCTCTTCGGCCGTCACGAAACGGCGCACCAGCAGATTAAAGATACTGCCGAAAGCCAACGCGATCACCGTGCTCGTCAAGATGATCACGTTGTATGGCATGCTGAAGTCCGGAGTGGGGAGTGGAAGAAGCAGGCTCGTCGTGCGGATGTAGATCGGGTGGCTGGCGCCGCCGCCGCCGCCCGCCGGGCTCAGCTTGATCACCGCCGGAGCGACGTTGAACCCGCGGTTGGCGTCCGGGGGATACTCCGTGTACCGCAGGATGGCCTTTTCGAAATCGTAGGTAAGCGTCACCGTCGACGCGGCCGGCACGGAGAGCGCCAGCTCGAGCTGGGTCCCGCGTTCGCGGTCGATGGCCGGGCGGTAGAAGGTTTCTTTGATGAATTGCGAGGCGGGCACTTGGCGACGTAGCCCGTCGCGGCCCGTGATGGTGGCTTGGAGGGTGTGGACGTAGGGGCGGAGGAACCACGGCAGCGTCTCGAAGTAGATAAAGTCAACAGGGTGGGTGTCCGAAGGGTTGTCGAAGATAATCCGCATCCCTCCGCGTTCCTGGCCGTGTCCGACGATCGTGCGCTCGGCGCGCAGCACAGGCTCATCAAGTGGAGCTTGGGTCGTGGCCTCCTGCTCGGGGATGTTGAGGTCAAAAGGTGTGGAAGACTCCAGGGTGAAGCAGCGGGTGTACCCGTCGGGCTTCTTCACTTCCACCGCGCCTTCAGTCGCACGGACTTCTCGTTCGTGTGGCACTCGCAGGCAGACCGTTCCGTCGGTAGAACCCTCGGTGAGAGGGCATGATCCGCTAATGCTGCGGCCGAAGATCTCAGACAAGCCCCAGCTCTTTTCGGACGTGCTCTCTAGCGGGTAGCAGGTGTCGTCTGAGTGATAAGGCTTGGATGTGTCGCACACGAGCTGCTCGTTAGGCACGGGCCGTGGGATGGGGTTATCTAGGGGAAGAATCAGCACAGATCGTCATACGTCAAGCAAGCTATACTGACCCCGTGGACGCTTGGACCGGTCGATATCGAGCACAATGTCCACCGACTGATCAATCTGCACAACACATTCCCCGGTCTGCGTGCAGATAGGACGCACATCCACGGACATGCTCTGCCACGAAGCATCAAAAAGCTTGTGCCCGTCCAGAAGGCTAGCCACACCCGCCTTGCCCTTACATGGAAGGAGCTTCAAAAATGGCGTCAAGTTTTCGGTGCAGACCACCTCGCCAGGAAGTGTTCCGTGCAGAAGATGCAGATTGTCCGAAGCCGCGTGAGTCCCTGTGGGTTCGAAAGATGCGACTGGTCTCGTCGTTCTGGTCGAGTCGATGAAGTTCAACGAGGCACAGAACAGCCCGGAGAGTGATTGGGCCAAGGTGATCCATTTTGCGAAAGCCCTGGTTGATTGATGTCAACATTGGATCTTATCTGTCCGGTCACCCCAGCATAAGACGTACGATTCATCATCCACGGCATCGATCCACGCCCACAGCTCCACACCGGTGCCCCCCTCCTTGGTTCCATTCCACGGGCGAGGACCCCAGCTCTCAGCATCCCATCGACCCGTTGTGAACCGGAGGTGCAGCTCCTTGGTATTGGCGTGGCGGAGGATCTGGCCTAGCGCGCGGGGGAAATAGCGGAAGTGACGCTCATCGAAGGAGGTCTGCGAGTCATTGCTCTGGAAGTTGAAGGAAGCTAACAGCGCGGATTGCGGAAGTGGTTGGAGGACGAGACTCTCGTGGTAGTCGGACTCCGCGGAGGCGAGCGAGGAGAACGCGGCCAGGAAGAGTAGAGAGAGAAGCGAAAGGACAGTCATCACGTCATGCTGGCCGACACGGAGGCTTCAGAAAGAATCCAGTAAAGATATCTCGATGCACCACCCCTCGGTGGTGGAGTTGCGACGTTCGGCAGCTGCGTTGCTCGTGAGAGATGCAACAACAACTGACAGCTGCGGAGACACCTGCAGTACGTCAACGACGATTCGTTCGGGTCGAAGTCTAACGTTTCAAGCTCCGTTAGAGTCGACAGTCATCAACTACCCGTTATATCATGGGGGAGCGTATTCCTGTCGTCGAGATAATGAACGAAGTAGAGTGTACAATACCGCAAGGCGAACAGGGGCCCGGAGCTCACATAAGCGCAGCCAACCGCGGTTAGCGCCACGCCCGCAGAACTTCCCGGCCAGAACAGAAGAAGAAGCAGAAGCTCTCCAATTCAAACTCCTTCAAGTGCGATCTTTCTTTTTCTTTCCCCCTCCCTCATCCCCTCATCCCTCACCACTCTTTCGATCCCAGGCATTATCCCCCCACTATGGCTGCGGAACAAAGAAAGCTGCTTGAGCAGCTCATGGGAGGTACGTCCCCAACAATTCCCTTCTCGAGCGTTTCCAGCTCTCTCCCCTCGTCTCAAAAACCCGCAATTCCGAGATAGCTAGCTAATCCTGGATATCCTTGACTGCTACAGCGGACCAACTCATCGGCACAGGAGCGCAATCCCGCAATGCGCAACTCGCCATCACCGATCCGAAAGTCTGCCGTTCGTACCTCGTCGGCACCTGCCCCCACGACCTCTTCACCAACACCAAACAAGACCTGGGCCAGTGCCCGAAAGTGCACAGCGAAGGATTGAAGACGGAATACGAGGCCGCCTCGGCCGCGGACAAGGCCAAGTGGGGGTTCGACTACGATTACATGCGCGACATGCAGAAGTACATCGACGACTGTGACCGACGCATTGACTCGGCGCAGCGACGGCTGGAGAAGACCCCGGATGAAATCCGACAGACGAATAACCTGGTAAGGCTGGCTGGCTTCTCTGCTGCTCTGCTTCCCCCCCTTCCCATCACCTAGAACATTTTGCTGGTACCAGAAATTAATTTTGTTACTATGCAGCTAAAACAAATCGCCGACCTCACCAACACCATCAACTCGGGTCTGCTGGAGATCTCCGTCCTGGGCGAGACCGGCGCCGTGGCGCAGGCCCTGAACGAACTGCACAAGATCCGCACCGCCAAGCACCAGAAGGAGACGTGCGAGCGCGACCTCAAGAATCTCCAAGACACCTCGGGCCCCTCGGGCCACCAGAAGCTGCAGGTCTGCGATGTCTGCGGCGCGTACTTGAGTCGCCTCGACAACGACCGCCGCCTGGCCGATCACTTCTTCGGCAAGATGCACATGGGGTACTCGGACATGCGCAAGACCTTCAAGCGACTCAGCGAGGAGCTCAAGGGTCGGCCTCCGCCGGTCCGGCACCATGATGACGAGGACGATCGTGATCGGGGCTGGGGCGGTGGTCGCTCCGGGGGCGGTGGCCGCGGGCCTCGCTACGGTGGTGGTGGCGGCGGCGGTGGTGGGTACAAAAAGCGTGGTCCTCGGTGGTGATGATTACGGATGACGATGATCATGAAACAGGGAGAAGGAGAAGGGGGGTTTTTGGATTGTCCTATACCGATTTCTGTTTTTTTTTTTTTTTCTTTTTTTTCCTTTTCATTTCCTGTTCGGCTGTACGCTCTCAGCTTGGTCTTTGCATAGCGTAGGCGTTTCCTTTCACGGTCGACCATGCTTGGCGGATGTCATGGCTATCTTCTTCTTTCTGTCTCAAAAAGATATCTAAACATCACTTTACCTTATATTAGCGAAACAAACAAATCCACGCACTGCGGTATAATACCCTGTACCAAGAGCCTCTAATTCAATTCTTCCAAACAAATAAATCATAAAGTAGAAAATGTTATTGAATAATGAGTATATTGTTCAATCGATCGAAAAGATCTGCGTTATCTGCCGTACAATCTGGAAATGCATACATCAAATTGGCCTCTGGGAAGTGACAATCGGGCAATCAAGCCGCAACTGGAAAAACATACAGCATAGACCATCGCTGGATCAAATAAATAGCCTGCGCGTCTTCACAAGAAAGGAAAAAAAAAGCAAAGAACAAAAACGTGACAGAATAAGTAATAATCGGAAGAAAAGCTCCCCCCGTTTTTCGCCCAAATACACATTTTAAGAACGGATGAAGATATAAAAAGAAAAAAGAAAAGAAAGAGGTAGTTTGGAAACCTTCGGGGAAAGAGCCCGCCACTAAGATTTGAACACCAAGTTCCAACTATGAGACTGAAATGAGAAGGTAAGGAATGGGAGGAAAGGAGAAGATGATGCGGCGAATGAAGGGGATGGAGAGGAGGAGAAAAGAAAAGGGAAAGAAAGATGAAGTACTATACAGCAAATATCTAAGCTTTCCCTTCTACCGGTTGTTCTGCTGTCCTCCACCAGGATGTCCATTGGCCGCGGTGACCTTGAATAATTCGTCCGTCAGAAGCTTGTAATCTGAACTGGCCTCGGGACGGCGTAGCAGGATCTCCTTGATCACTCCCAACTGAGAGACGTCGGCGTTGGGCGCCTGCTGCAGCAGTTGCTGAAGAGCGGGGGATTGGGCGGCCTGCGGACCCAAGACCTGGATGGCTGCCGCCAGACCTGTGAAGGGAGCCTGGTGGGTGGAAGCTTGAGGAGGGGGATAAGAGGGGTATTGGGTGGCCGCTGCGGGTGGTTGCTGCGGTTGCTGGCCGTAGGGGATGGGCGCCTGCGGCGTGGCGGGAAACGATGGTGCTGGGCTGGGGGTGAATTGAGAGGAATGGCGAGGGGGGGCCGGGGTCAGGAATTGTTGTTGCTGCTGCTGCGAGGGAGCCGTGGTGAGAGGGCTGGCAGAAGCACCGGGCTCCTGGCTGGTGGGATGAGAAGGCTGGACAGAGGGAGGGTTCGAATCGCCTGTCTTGACGGCGAAGACTACCAGGAGCACCCGTTCGGGCATGGGGTCCTCGAGGGTGTTGTTCTCCAACAGCTCGATGAAGTCGGGCTTCTTGGTCGAACCGGCCTCAATCGGAATCAGGTAGGTATCCTTGACAGCCGGCAGTGGGTGTTTGCCCACCACCCCGTATCGGTTGCGGTCCTGGAAGTAGCTGAACAGCTTGTCGAAGCCGGTCCTCTGCTTGGGGTTCTCGGGACTGCTGATCGAGATGACGGTGACATCGGTCGACGAGCTGAATCGCAGACCGCAGAGATAGTTGCCCGCCAACTGAGTGTCGATGCGTCCGTCCACAAGCAAAGTCGAGGGAACCAGCTGGCTCCAGGGTATACGCCCGCTGAGGTCGGCGCCTCCTGCGTGCTTCGCCGAGGAGGAGAACTCGGCGATGGTGCTCATCATCACCTTGCCATGCCAGATCGATCCTTCGTCGTGGTAGTCCTTGGGTGAGTAGGGCGGCGATTCGGGTTCATCGTCCTTGAGCAACTTATCAATCTCTGCATCGGCCTGTGCCTTGCGTGCTGGTAGCTGTTCGCGGATATGAGCCGACACTTCAGGGAAGACAGGCTCGTGGCTGGTGCCACCAGGCGAATGTGCTCTCGGAGGGAAGTCATCGCGACGAATGTCCACCCCATCGGGGAGCTTGGACTCATTGGGATGTTTCTGTGCAGCGCCATCGGTCTCAGTCGTCTGTGGCGTTGGACTGGTCGGACTCTGTCCGGCAGAACTGCCGTCGGCCTCGGCCAAACTGCGTCGAGATGCGGCCGTGGAGAAGACCGGCTCGCTGGCGGCGGTATGGTTTTCGTCTTCGACCAGTTCTTCACCCTTATGGGTGCGTCTAATGCGCGGCCCTTGTTCTTGGATGATAATGTGTTGACGCTCGGCTTCCCGCTTGATCTCAGCATCCTTCTGCTGGAGCTCCTCACTGGCCATGTTTTGGCTGCTCATCTTAGAGAGGGCATCGGGAAGTAAACTACCTACGAGCAGACGATCCCGTAGAGAAGGGTTCTTCTTTACGTTGAACAGGATCGTCCGCAATTGTGTCTTATACGGGTCTGTAGGCTCTCCAGATCCTCCGCATATATTCTGGTACATAGCACTCTCAATCGAGAGTCCAAGCTGCCGCGCAACTTCCTCCACGGGTTTCCCTTTGGGCAAGCTGAAAGATCCTTTCTTCTGGGACTCAGAAATCTGATCTACAAATAACTTGACCAGGGCACTAGCAGCACTTCTTCGAGCCGGGTTAGTGGGTTCTTCCAAGGACTTCGTCACGTCTGCGGTGGTCGGCGACGGCGATGCAGTGGAGCCATGTCGAGAAGACTGCCCGGCGGGCTCATCCTTCACTGGAGCCGGTTCGGGGGGAGGTGTTGGGGTGGCGGCTGGGGGTGAGATCTTCTGCTGCTTGGGTTTTGGTTCCTATCATCAGGATTAGTGTCAGACAGGCGTGGTCGAGCCAGAAAAGGAACAGGCTACGTACAGCTTCCGCGGTTGGAGCTTCTTGATGCTCCTCGAACTTGCGTTTCTGGGCGCTTGCTGGTGGAGCCTCAGGAGTATGTCCATTTTTCTCGGGAGTTGGCTCCTTGGCGGGAGTTGGCGCCTTAGCAGGAGATGGCTCCTTAGCAGGCGCAGCAGCCGGAGCTTCGATAGCAGGGGCTTCGGCAGCAGGAGAAGGAGTAGGAGCAGGAGCAGGAGGCGGAGGAGGAGCAGCAGCAGGCGCAGGAGCAGGCGCAGGCGCAGCCACGGGAGCTGGGGTAGGAGTAGGGGCAGGTGTTGTCGAGGGTGCTGCGCGAGCTGGAGTACTCATTTCAACCTTGACCTCACTTTGTCGACCTCGTCGGCCGCCTTTCTTCCCCTTCTTGCGCCGCGAGGCCTTCTTCTCCTCCGCTTCTATGCGTCGCCGTTCGGCCGCTTCTTCCCACGGCTTTTCGCCCCGCGAGATCTTCTCCAAGAGGACCGGATGGTTCTCGGGCTTGCACTGCTCGCAAAAGTATTCATCGGGCTCTTCTCCCTTAGCGAACGTGAGGCCCATACAGTCGTTGTGTTGCCATGCAGAGCATCGATCACAGCAGATCATGTCACGTTCAATATCCTCCTCCTCTTCGTATTCACCGCAGATACATCGGATAATCTCTTCCTCTTCGCTAGGAGCAGGTGTCGGCTCCACGGACGGCTTCGCGAGTTTCTCCTTCGGTTGAGCTTTGGCTTTTGTCTTCTTCGCCGGCGTCTCGGTGATCATGTCGAGGTTTTTGTGCTGGCCCTTGGTCGAGCGACCAGAGCGTCTCGGTTCATCTGAAGTTCTTTGTTAGCTGCATCCAATTCGTGCCATAGTTTTGTTTCCAAGCTTGCCTGCCGCCAACACCGCCCACCGACAGTGTTGGCTCCGGTAGGGAAACATGGGTGGAATACGATCGATAGCTTACCAGCCATGATGGGAGTGAATGACTGAAGTAGATTTTCAAATTTCTACGGCGCGAAATTGTTGGTGTAAAAGGAAAGCGAATGGGGAGGTAGATAATGGGCTGGATCCAAAGTGTCCAAAGGAAAAGTTGCGCACGCCACCCAGGTCACGGTTCTACGGCATCAGAAGAGCTAAAGCAATACACAGAGAAAGGCAACTGGCGACTGGCACTGCTGTGCTGCGGTCCGCGCAAGTATTACTTGATCTTCTCCAAGCTCCAGCGACTGACTTATTTAGAGACGATGGGACTGTATAGTCCGTGGCGTCACCATCCGTGACGGGGAGGGAGGGAGGGAGGACTTGGGAGGTTTGCTCAACAACCACAACCGGTGTCGCGCGCAGGATGCTTGGCGTGGGCGGGGTTCGCGCGAAAAGTGGCTCAAGCCTCACGGGTTATTTAGGCGTGGTATCGTGAGCTGCGAACAGAGAGTGCGCAAAAATGTATTGCACAGTGGCGATTCTTGATGAAAGGTGCGCCCAGCGAGAATCAGCCAGGGTCGATGGGAGATGAGAAAGAATGATCCGAGGTTGGGAAGAAGAAGAGATGTTGTCGCGGTTGAACCTCCTCCAGGCTGCTGATTAAGTGAGAGTTGGTTCGGATGCTGAATCAGCTGAACCCGAATGGATACCACGTGACTGCGGCTCCGCGGAATCGGTTTGTCGCGCGGTGCGCCCGTCGCCCGTTCTCGTCGCGTTTATTCTTCGCCGCCCTTCCAAAGCTTCTCCGGAATCCCCACATAGATTGATTTTCTAATCGCCTGGTTTGAAAAAGGGCTTTACATTACCTACCTCCTACCTACCTACCTATCTAGTAATTCCAACCAAACGTTTTCATTCTCCTTCTCATTGTCTCTTTACATCATCATAGCATTTATCCCCATTCCCAGAAGAAAGATCATGGCCGATGTTCGCTCATTACTCCGCAATGAGCTCGCCACCCGCAAGGGCTCCTCTCAGACAGGGAGCACGGGCAACCGTGTAACCAAGAAAAGAAAGGTAGATCCCGCAGACGACCCGATGCGCAAGAGGATCAGGCCGGCCGGCGCAGAATCCAATTCCGCGGCGGGGCATATGACGATACAGCCACCGAGCGCGACGGCCATCGAAGAGGAACATGAGGAGGAGGAGCTCGAACAATTAGACGAGGAAGTCGCCGGTCCCGAAGCCCCGTCAGACGCTCCCATCGAGCACGACTCCTCCGAGCCGGCGGGACAACCTTCAGAAACCCCTGCTGGGACAGCCCCAGTACCACTTCCTCAAACCGTGGATGAGGATGAGTGGGCGGCCTTTGAGCGCGAGGTGGTGGCACCAACGCGCATGCCACACCGGCCCGCGGCGCTGAACGCGACGGCAACCATCTCAGCCGCGCCCCTCACCGCGGAAGAGATCGCTGCACAGCAACAGCGCGAATCCGAGACGATAAGCAAGAACCGCGAGGTGGAGGCGGAAGGGGAGCGCGAGGATGCGGCGCGCTTCATGGAGAACGAGTTCGATGAGATGGAACAGCTAGAGGAGCGTCTCAAGCGCCTCAAACAGAAACGCGAAGAGCTGCGGCAACTTAGACCTACCGAGGATGCAGCAGTGCAGGACATGGATAAGTCTCCATCCGCTACCCCTGCGCCGCAGGATGAGCTGGGCCACGCTGGACGCCGTCACGAGAATGGAGATGAACAGGATGACGATGATGATGACGACGATGACGATGACGATGATGATTGGGACAACTGGAGGTTCCGGTAATTGTTAGGGTCAAGGTTCAGGCGTGGGACACAAACAAACGGCGTCATTTCACAGAGGGAGGTCCAGAACTTTTCTAAAAACTTACAATGATACCCCATGAGCTATGTGCGATCAGACAAAATTGCTACTAATCATCTTAATTCGCCACAGTGTTGGCAACGCGAGTGCTGTCCTGCTAGCTTACTTGCTCTTTCATACCTCCACACCTGCGCTTGCTTGTGTGGCGGGGCATATTACGCCCGCATAGCTGAATCATAAGCATTGTGTGATTGATCCTTTAAATAGAGACAGAAATGGTTCAACATGTATCTTACACTCATCTAAAATCATGTACCCTATACATGAAATGCACTTCCCAAATGCTCCCTATTCCCCTTGAGGTCTGGACGATTGGTCCTCTGCTTCCAGGTAGCTGCGCAGGCCGCCCTTGTTGACTTGCATAGCTTCCTCAAGCTCGACCTCACCTTCTCTTAGGAGATGTTTGCCACGGATGAGTTCGCCCTTCTGCTTCCGCTTTTCATCTTCAACTTGCTTCTCACGTTCCGCCAAAGCCCTCTCGCGCTTTTCTCGCTCCACTCTCTTTCGCTCCAGCTCTTCTCTCTCATCGGCGGTGAGGTTATCCTCTGGCGCCGGGGGCAAGGTCGAGATGTATGTCTCAATAAGCGGATCACGTACTTTGGGAGCTAGTGCGATGTATCTGAGATCGGTGATGATAGAGGTGGGGAGCGCTTCGAGGTTGGATGATTTGTTCAATTCATGCAAAGGCACAGACTTGAGCAGAGCCGAGAGATCGGATTTTCGACTGCTTTCGGGCTGCTTCATTCGAGATACCAGGTCGCGGTAGAACTTCTCCCGGTCTTTGTCCGACAGCTGTGGGTCTTTCATCTCTGGCTCTTTCCTATATTTCCGTTTGAATTCTGGCCAGTACAGTTTTGGGGTTGCGTGTTCTTGCAAGAATGAGAGGTATTTTATGCGCGGGTCTTTCTTCTCTTGCTTCTGCTTGCGCTCCTTGATTTCTTGGATACGATCGCGACTCCAGTTTGACCAGACGTCGCGACGCGCTTTCATGTTCGGGAGAACAGTATAGCGGCTGTCATTGATGATGTGGCCTTCTTCAATGATCTTCTCCCAGGTCGTGAAGGGATTGATATGGAAGTCGTCGAGGAGGTCGCGGAACAGAGCCGTAGCATCCTCCTCCGTGAGCGGCAGACCTTCAGCACCCTCCTCCCACCCTTCCTCGCCTGGTTCGCCATACTCGCCGGGGTCAAGGCCGTATTCTTCTCCCATCGCTGCTAACTGATATTCCATATCTTCTTCCGTAAATTCCACAGGTTGGGGGTGACCTTCATCTTCATCGGTCTTCGGTCGCTTGAAGGGGTGGTCTTCGTCTTCGTCGTCCGTAACCTCGACTTCCTCATACTCGTCGCTGTCCTCCTCAGCGTGTGCTGTTGTGGGCCCGCTTGCCGATACCTCGGCTTCCTGTCTCTCTCCTGAACTGCCCTCTGCATGTTCCAGGTCTCCAACATCCTGGACATCTTCGCCCCGTTCCTTTCTCGCTAGTGCCTCTTGTTCCAAGCGATCGAAATCGAGAACCCCTTTCATCACCTCGGGAGGGATTTTCCAATAGCTCTCGTTTGTCTCCGGATTGTGAACGAATCGTCTTCCGAGTTTCGTCTTCACAAGCACCCAGGGCGCGCATCCTGGCACTGCGTGCTTTTTCTTGGGCCTGTCTTCTGGCCCCCGACGTCGACGATCATAGCTGTTTCTTCCGCCACGGAAGTTCCCTTGGCCCTGACTTCCTTGCTGCTGTCCATATTGGGGGATGGCATTGAAGCCCTGGGCAGCAAGACCGAATCCGTGAGGCGCATAAGGAGTAGAAGAGAATGGGGGCAGTGTGTCTATGTTCGTGTTGAAGGTGGGTTGTTGCGGCGTTATTGTCGGCGGTTGAGGTTGCGTCGGGACTGGTAGAGGCCTGGTGTAGGTGGATTGCTTGGTTTGCGCATTGTAATAGTATGTATGTCCTAGATTGAATTAGGGACGAGATTTAAACGAGACTCTGTTTAGGTGAGCGAACCTGTAGGAGCTTTATGTTCGGTCCATCCTGGAGGTAGCGGAGGAGGCGGGGTATATGTCGACCTTAGCATGGTGAAATATAGATATGCAAAGTACCACTCAAGTACACATGTGAATTGAATGAAGATGCCTTAGCTCACAAACGAAGGATTGTTAAATCAAATGGTTGAAGTCCTGCAGCGCCGTTGGAAGATAATTTGCGCCAGTGTCGCGGAGAGCTTCGCATGGAATCTCGGGGTGGTCCGAGCTTGGCGGACGGATGGTCTTGTCAGCCCGGGGCGGGCGGGCTGGTGGACGCGCCAGGGCGAAGTTGCCTGGTCGGTCACTCACTCGCTCACTTCCTACCTTCCTACGGGAGCTCATCCGACCTTCAACTGCACAGCTTGCTCGGCATCTCCCTTCATCTTCCCCCCCCCCCCCCC